CCTTCGTTTGCGATTGAAGGCGGAGTTCAAACTTTCAGTAAGTACCAGCACCGTCTCATGATACTTGGATGGTAGACTGGTAACATTGAAGAAACTGCACACCCTTCTGGAGTCCATGAACACGCTGGAGAACAAAAAGCGACGCAGGTCATTCGTTTTGCAGCTCATAGATTACGAGGTGGAAGGAAGGCTACCGGTGTGGATTGATGACACCAATTTCAACTTATTTTGCTCCCGCACTCGTGGCCGCTCATGACGTGGTAGTCGAGCGCAGTGCACAGTGGCGAACAGCCGAATGTTCATGTTGTCGGCGCCATGACAAACAACGGCTTGATAGCGTGTTCGGTTCTGAGAAGAAGTTGCAACAAGCAAATGTGTGCTCAGTGGCTGCGACAAGTGCTTGATATCAACGGAGCAGGGTTTGTGGAAATGTGTCTTTGATTTGTGACAACGCGCCCTGTCACACGCACCTGGAGCACGTTTCCCGAGAGGAACCGTACCGCACTGGGAGACTTCTACGCCTTGCACCATACTCTCCAGCCCTCAATCCCATCGAGGGCATCTGGAGCATAATAAATGCTCATGTAAAACAGGCAATGTGGGGACGGTACTCCGAGATGCTCCTTGGGGATCCTGAAGGCGTTATGAATAAAAACGATTGGCGGATTCGCTTGTTGGAGCACGCGGTGTCTGAAGCACGGGCCTTAGTGACGCAGCAGCACTGCGAACAAATGGTTCAGCATGTCAGTAAGAATTATGGACGTGTTGTTCATTTGGCCGGTCTGTAAAACATTCCGTTGGCAGTAAACTACCTGTTCTAAGCGGGTGTTGTTCTTACTTTATTATGAGGACCGGTCAGAGTGCAATTTACACCCTGCTAGAAATAGCCAGTTCTCTATTCGGGGGAACATCATGGATTTCCGATAAGTTGGTGCGTGTGGTCGCATCGCATACCCGTTTTCGTTGCCGCGTCGTAGCACAATCATGTGAGAGCTTGACAAATAGATGCCACTCTAACACAGTTGTGTGGCAAGCAATTATGTTCTACCGCCTGTCGTTGATTGTATTTGGGGAGCCAGCGAATAAGGACTTTGATAACGGTACAATAAGTAAGAAAATTGGACTATGCAGACTTGACGGACATGTGTAGTGTGTGTGGCCGTCTGCCGGATTGTTTAACCCGTTACACCAACGCAGGCGGCTGGATGCTGCATGCGGAAACACAGAGCCTGTAGGGCAAGCACAACTAACGTTTAGCACGCTGTCTAGGGAAATCTTTCCGGATGGGTATTTGTCAGTTGTGGACTGTATTCGAACACACCACAGGGATGCGGTGAGAAGGTGCTTTGAAGCTGAGTTCATATGGCATTTGCCATTTGCAAGTAGAAGTTGCTACTTCGCTCCAGCTCAAATATATCTGGGTAAATGGTGCGGTTATAGCCAGATATCTGTTGCAATCATATCTCCACGTGTTCGTCCCTCGCCTGAATGGACGCTTGATTCCCAATCAAAACCCGAAGTCGCTGACCCCCCACAGGACAGAGAGAAGACCGGATCGGACCAGCAGAGTAACAGGAATGTATTAGCGAATCACACCGTTCATTATAAAGGTGAAATGGAAAGGTCGCGAATGGTATTTATAACGAACGTGGAAAGCTCTGGGAAGGTCAACTTACAGCAAATCAAGGAACGCTGCCCTCGCGTTAATTGGCCGCTTCTCCCGGTTGGCTCTCACTTCGCCCCAATCAGGGCGGGTGAGTTTGGATCGCCTGCCGCAGCGATGGGGTCCTGGCTTGTTCGCATCGCGTATTCCTTCCTAACACTTCTCCCTTTGAGTTCTGTTGTACGATTTCAGCTTGAGGTTGACTTGCATGGGTGACAGGAATTTGCGTCCCCGCTTCAGCCTCTGCGTTGCTAAGTTTCGGGTCGAATGTTTGGTTGCCGTATTGGGGCATGTTGGGGAGTCTTCTTTTCACCCGCCTCGGCCAATATGTTCAGAGGTAACTGCGCTGCTGGTACTTGTTTTTGCAGTTGTTCACCAGTCCCTGCCTCTAGCAGCTGATTGGCATGTCTTACCCAAATTGCCGTCCCAACCTAAATACCGTAGATCACGTTAGCACGTTTGTATAGCACACGACCCATAGCCCATTTAGGATAGTGGATGTGATAATCTCTCACCAGAACTTGTTGGCCAACGTTAAACGCTCGCTTCCGAGCACCGTGTCGGATGTTGAAAAGAGCTGTAATGACTGATCAAGCCCAAGGATGATCTGAGCTTCGCGATATTGTCAGGGGGCGGCATCTGTTTTACGGCACTTATGTTGGAAGGATCCGGACGACGGTCATCCTTGTCGATGATGAAGCCAAGATACTTTCCACACTTCATACCGGTATTGCACATTTCTGCTTTCAAGTGAAAACCGTAGTCATTAACGCGGTGAAGAACGGCTTCCAGTTTTTCCGTCAGCTATTGATTATGATTTCGTTCAAGTAAGCTGCGACTCCTGATAACCCAGCTAACATTGTATCCATAATTGGTTGAAAAATCCCGGGAGCTGATTTGACACCAAACGGTTGAACTGGTAAAGACCTCGGCGCGTATTGATTGCCAGAAACTCCTTTAAAGCAACGTGGACTACAATTTGAAGATAAGCATCTGATAAATCTAGCTTTGCAAAGTAAGCACCGCCACTGAGCTTAGCAAACAAATCTTCTGGGACTGGCAAAGGATACTGGTGCATTTTCAAAGCAGCATTCAATCTCGTAGAGTAGTCAGCACAGCTACGAACGGTTCCATTGGTCTTCTTGGCGACAACAATGGGTGCTGCCCACGCTGCATAGTTCACAGCTTGTATGACGCCGGCCCGCTCCAAACGATCAAGTTCCGCATCAACAATCGGAAGCGCAGCGTATGGTACCGGTCTTTTGGGTCGGAATACCGGTTTGGCACCGTCTTTGAGATTAAGGCTTGCTTTGGTCTTTGTGCAACTTCCCAAGTCGTTGCGAAACACAGACGGGAATTTCCTTCGTAGCTGCTCGATCAGGTTGCGGTTTGGTTCATCACCTTCATAAGAGGGCCTCGTATATCCGAGCCGGAGGGTACTGCAGACTTGACTCAGGGGAATGTCGAACAGGTGGAGCTTCTGGTTCCAGTCGACTCCAAGCAGATCCAAATGTGACAACCCCCTAATGTAGACGACACCGTTTGCTCGAGCAGCGCCAAAAACCATTTCACACTGCAGCTCACCAATGAGACAAAGTTGACCTTCTGAAGCTTTCAGTGCAACATGTGTCGTTCGGCTGACTGACGGAGCACCAACAGACTTCCAAGTTTTGCTGGAGATAATTGTGATGTCCGAGGCTGTGTCTAGCTGAAGACGCACTTGTTGCCCGTTCAGGTGAACTCTGTTGTACTTTCTGCGAGCCACATGTTCATCAGAGTAGGCCGCTTGAACCGTACTATAGCTGCTGAATCTTTTGGGAACAGTTGCATTCAGTCGCGTATGTCTAGCACGCTTGAACTGCAGTCTGGATCGGCAGTGCGTTTCCTTATGGCGCAACTCCTTTGCCGTTCAGATTAATTCTGTTGCTCAAGGGGACAACTTGGCCGAGGAGTGGCCTAATTCTTTTCGCTTTTCTGACATTGCTGTCCATGTTTCACACTATCCGTGAGCGTTTTTATAGTCCTAACTATTAAAGTGTTTGTATATACGTTAAGGAAACACAAGATGTTGTCGGTAGACTTCTCTTTCCGTGGTGTTAAATACACGTTTGTTCTGTCATAAGACCTGTCTCATAGCGAGCACCTGTTTCTTGCGATGACCTATTTTTTCGCTTGCCTGAGGTACTATTGACTTTTGGTTTTTTGTTGGATTTCTAGTCGACAAACTTCTCCGACCCATGGCTAAATGGTTGGTATGCACTTTTAGGTCACGCTGGTCACACCGTTTGGGCGGCCTCAGTTGTCCACCCCGGTCAGCAAGAACTGCATTTCTCTCAACGGGTTTGCTAGTAGTGCGTTAATCGGCGCACGGATGGACAGAACCACACAGGATTTGTGCGGTGAGGCACAAAAGAGATTCCGTGGTGAATGTGGGACAACATATTAGCTTGTAACTGCGGTGTACAGCAGTGCAAAACACTAAGTTATACCTTCTCTGGTAGCCTTAAAAATGCTCTGTCGAACTACATATCAAAGTCACTGAAGAAACTCAAAAAAGCAGGGTTGCACGAGCAGTTCTTGGCGAATAAACTACAGAGGACGTCGCTTATGGTGTATTGTGTCGTTGGACTTACTTCAGAAAGATAAATCCCGTTGGATAGAGCTCGACGATCCGAAGCAATAGAGCGAACTTACGCGAATGTGGCGCAGAAATGTGAAGGGATACATTTAAGTTAATACGGTACAAACTTATACGACCGGCACGCAACGTGCAAACATGCATGTCTAAGGAGATTGCGATGCTTCCCCAAGCTTGCAAGTAATCGAGTTGGTCAAATATCGAGCCGACTTGCAGTCATACAGAGAAAGTCAGACAGCTTGAATCTCTTTAGTTGGTGGTCATTCGATGCCGTTAGTTGGTAAAATAAAGCTAACGACCAAGGATAGTTCATCACTTGTGGTCTACAGTGTTGCTTCCACGGGAATCTGGCTCACCCATATTGACTTCGAGGCGCTGGACTATTCACTATTGAGATTAGGTTGTGTAGAAGCTCCTCTAACGTTTGCTTAATAGCTAGTTGAAGCACCACTGACTCTGATACTTCTCGTTTGCGGTCAAGAAGCTTGCGAAACGTGTTGTTATTAACGCGTGAATAACCAAGTGGTCACCGGAAATGCGCTTCGGAATATGAGGTCGACGGTATCACTAATTAACTCAATAATTTCTACCTCTCTTGCTTATGTGCATAATTCTCACATTGATTTCTATTACTCACCACAGATTTCAGGAATCCGGAATCGATCTACATCTTTTCATATATCTTTCTTGTCCTAACAGGCTGCTCTCTTTATCGCAACCAGAACACACCTATATCGTCTGCCCGTGGCTCGATGTGGTCGGTTAGGTCACTCACAGGAGGCTTGTGAGCTGATGCATGATCCTTATTGTGGATGGAACCGGCAGAGTAACACATGTGAACTATTAAGGGAAGGGCACACGGATGTGCTGAAGTTTGAAGCCTGTCCAGCGGAAGTTACAAAGTCACTGTCCATTTCCATTGACGGTGCATGGGGTGCATGGAGCCCGTGGTCTGCATGCGCACTAACCAAAAATGACTTTCCTAATTCCAGGTGGAAGGAAAACATGGACAGTTCAGGAAGCCCTACCAGGCACAAGTTTGGAATTTCCGGTTGCCAGTGCCGCTACAGATATTGTAGTTTTCCGTACTCATTTGGGCCAAGTGGAAAGCACTGTGATGAGGCCTCGGCGATCCAGTTGGCTAACTGTTCCGTCGATGGCGGCTGGACTGAATGGACCCCTTGGTCCGGATGCGAACCTACATGTATATTAAAAGGCTCTGCAAGAGTACTCCCCGCTCAGCGCATACGGCAGCGATGGTGTACAAACCCAGCTCCTATGGGGCCAGACGGAAAAGATTGTTTGGGAAAAAGGAAGGAAGTCGTCCAGTGTCCTAGTCCCGATGTCACTTGTCCAAGTGAGTTAAGTACACTTGCATATAATCGTTACACTTGCGGGCATGTCCAAAGTTCAAGCCAAAACACTGGGGGCCAATCGTATTAGTACACTGAGCGCTATAAATGTGAGATCAGTTAATCGTGAAAATAGAGAACTATTTACCTGTGTCAAATGTTGGTGTCTCAAGAAGGAGCAAAGAACTTCGTTCCATAAACGTGATTACTTTGCTTCGTTTTGCAACCGTTTCAGCCTTGTACATGGAGATGCAAGTAGATTGTGAGTGATCTACGTACATAAAACTAATTCTGGTTTCTATGGGGCTAGGTTGTGGAACACAGTCAATGAAGTACGCCGCTAATTATGGTCATCCTGAAGGCGGACACAAGTTAGCCCATACCTAGCATCTAACAGTTGTAGTTATGTGAATTCCAAGTGTTCATTAAGGATAGCGAACTGATTTCAAACAATCGCGATTACAACGATCCCTGCCGTCATCACTCCATCATTTCCGAAATTAACGACAAGGCTATGCTGAGGGGAATATGCTTTCCATGCATCTAACCGTAATGAATATGGTCGAATCACTACAGATTAGTCAGTCGACGTAATGTTGTGTACATAGGACAACTGCTTTATTAAATAGTGCTGCCCGGTGGGTGTAGTACAAAACGATTCTGAAAGAACACCTAGAAATTATTTTACTAAGCAAGCTAAATTCAGCCTAGGTAGAGATTACGCTCATTCTGAAATCAATCGAAACTGATTAAATGTTTCTTTCGATGGAGCTGCCTTTAATTTGAATGGCGGGTGATGAATGTTTGGAACAGCTCGCCGGAGCATATAGTGGGAGCGAACTCAGGACAGCATTTCCAAACACTACTGGATAACATTTCTTCAATGTTCGCTTCCGAGAATGATTACCCAATAAATTTCATGCAGTCATTTCACTTCAGCAATTTCAAGAGCAAGAACGAACAGCATTTATGCGGGATAACCTGAATTCAGATTATTTCGTGTCTTCTCATTCAGCCGCTTACAGACAAATCGTGGAAAGAGTAAAGGAATGCAATTGAAAAAGGGGTCAATAGGAGAATCAATAAAACACTGAGCAAACCAAGGTCATTGCCTGCGTCTTACCAGGGCAAGGCAAGGCTGGCCACAAAGTCTACCAGTTTGCAAAGGTTTGGCTTCATTCGTCGGATGGCCGAGGCTTCAGCGAAACGAAGCAAGCTCGCGTTGTTTTGTCTGCTGACGAACTTGAATGCGTCACGTGGGTTTTCGCACAAGGTACATTCGAGCAGATGCTGAGCGATGGAGCTGGTAGGGAGTTTAGGTCCACTATTTGCCAGGTTTCGTGGAACATGTTCCATGATCCTAGTTGATAGCCTTCTCTCGGTTCGGCCAATGTACAAGCTAACGCAGGTACAGATGAATTGGTAAACACATGAGGCGGTAACTTGAGAGTGAGACCTATCCAAGTTGGATTCATGGAACAGCTTTTTGGTTTGATGTAACAACACGAGCTCAGCTGCGTAGTAGCACCTTTTTATGGCTTGGAGTAATCGGTAGCACATTCTTCTGTCGTTCTGTTCCATGAATCGAACTTGGATAGGTCTCACTCTCAGGTTACCGCCTCATGTGTTTACCAATTCACCTGTACTTGCGGTAGCTTGTACATTGGCCGAACCGAGAGAAGGCTATCAACTAGGATCATGGAACATGTTCCACGAAACCTGGCAAATAGTGGACCTAAACTCCCTACCAGCTCCATCGCTCAGCATCTGCTCGAATGTACCTTGTGCGAAAACCCACGTGACGCATTCAAGTTCGTCAACAGACAAAACAACGCGAGCTTGCTTCCTTTCGCTGAAGCCTCGGCCATCCGACGAATGAAGCCAAACCTTTGCAAACTGGTAGACTTTGTGGCCAGCCTTGCCTTGCCCTGGTAAGACGCAGGCAATGACCTTGGTTTGCTCAGTGTTTTATTGATTCTCCTATTGACCCCTTTTTCAATTGCATTCCTTTACTCTTTCCACGATTTGTCTGTAAGCGGCTGAATGAGAAGACACGAAATAATCTGAATTCAGGTTATCCCGCATAAATGCTGTTCGTTCTTGCTCTCTTGAGATTATCCCCTGAAATCGCATATGTGGGAGTTGCAATTTACTGTGGGTTACGCGCTCTTCCGATAGGACGCGCAAATTTGAAAAAAGATCAGCCAATTAACAGGTTATTAATAATTTGCATTTTTAACGTTTTTGACCATAGTTCAGGGAAGTCGTACCGATTTAAATATCTGTTTGCTTTCATAATATAGCATTTAGTATTCATCTGGACGTTATTCAATTCTACATTACGGCATGGTGAAAGTAATAGCAAAAACACCATTGTAAGTTCAACGCATACATAGGTACCGTCCGCTTGTTCGTTAATTTGCGAACGCGCCAAGAGCGAGTGATGTTATCTTTGTCGATAAGTAATGTGGCTATGCCACTCTGCTTACGTAGCAGTGGGCAACTGAGATGCATTCGACTAGATATGATTGTGACATATATGTGTCAAAAGGGTCTGCAGATGCACCCAGGTAGTCTGACAAGAAGCAGGGGTCATGACATACTTTTTAGCAGTAAGGTCGAGGCGTGCTTCGACAAATCAGTCCTGACACTTGATACATCAGCTCAAACACCAGCGCGACTGAAATGCCGTTCGGTTGCGAAGAAAGATGGTTGTAAGAACTTCCTTCATAGTTTTGCAGCAAGTGCATGACGACTCCAAAAAAGTATGCAAAGCTTTCGTGGTTCAGTCACAGGCAAGTAAGTGAAGAAATATAGGACGCTACTTCTGCAAATCGGAAGTTGCAGAAGTACTGGAGTATTTCGTAGTTAGCTTGAAAATTCGCAATAGCAAGTCAACATTCAAGCATCAACCTCTGTCAACGGGACAACAGTGCATGTCCTAAAGGCCTGGAAATTCCTCAGCTCCCGCATTTTCATTCCACTAGAAGGATCTTGGAAAATATGTGTGGGGTGAATTTGATTCATAAATATGTATCAATATCAGGAAGCACTTCAGGGTAAATAATTCTTTCCGGTAAACTCTCAACAGACTCAAACATTTGCATAGTACTGATTGTGTGGAAAGCGTCAAATCGGGCAGGGATTGACTTCTAGGCCGCTTGGACGATCAACATCGATAACTTCAGACAGGGTTCACCTATGAACTTGAATTCGGAAACCGGTTACTTTTCCTAGAACTAGAAGTTTGCAACCTTCCCGGACAGATCTTACAGCAGAATGGTACACGGAAATCATACATGGACTGGGAAGTACACTAAATTCCACAGCGCAGTGCGGCTGCAACATAAGAGGAGTTTAATCCGAGCTCTCGCTTTCAGAGCGCGCAGTACTTGTACACCGGATACCGTCAACGAAGAACTACAGCGGATCTGCGACGCCTTCAGGGAAAATGGTCATCCTGATAAAGTTAGCATGAGGCATTTGAACAAACTCAATCGGAAGCAACTTAGGAGCACTGCTTCCAATAAAGAGCTTTCCTACATATGGTCTTTAAGCGTGATTCTGCAGCTGAAATATTATCCTGACGCCTGAAAGATGTTGTTGGGGAAACTTATTTCGCTGGCCACCAGAGAATTGTTTATCACTACAAGCCATCGCTTAGTAAAAAGCCCAGAAAGCTAGACTGCTTCCGTTGACCCATTCATTGATCGTATATCAGTATTCGTGCTGCTGTGGTGCACGGAATCTACGTCACACTAAGAGACGCCTATCTTAGGGGATTCGTGGACACATCACGGCATGGTTTTAAAAAGGCGAAATGAGGTCATCAGACAGCTCAGTCACGTCGTACCTCCTTGAATGTGGCCATACAGCTTCCGAGAATGACTTCAAAGTTTGCTACTTACTACCTGAACACTGCTCCCAAGGTTTCCGCAAAGGGCTCTTATCCATCGCCGAGGCTATCTACATCCACCATCTGAAGCCGGAATTATGTGCACAAAAACGATTCATAGGGCCGATACTACTACCGTGACCAACTGACACTGTTACTTAGTTTTTTGGTTGCTACCTTACGTATTTTTCTCAGACTACTGTGGATTGTGCATGCGCGTTTCTTCAGTTCACTCGGCTTACCAAATATACCCGTCCGAAGTTATAGATTTTGCTCCTTCAAACGTTCTAGAAGTCCATCCCTGCCCGATTTGACGCTTTCCACATAATCAGTACTATGTAAACGTTTGAGTCTGTTGAGATTTTACCGAAAATAATTATTTACCCTGAAGTGATTTCTGCTATTGATTCAGATTAATGGAATGGGAGTATTGCTTTGCTGAAGACCAGCATTGCCAGTGATTCCAATTCACTTATCTAGCTGACGCTGAGAGAAGCATTGCAATCGTTTGGCCTCCTATATGTCATCTGCAGATTCCAGTACTTAAACTCATGTTTATTCTGAGTGGCTATCGCTCCCAACCCACAGTGACTTCCATTGCATGTTAATCGTTTAGTATGTGTTGCTGATATGTTAAGGCTGATATTCTGCTGGATAGGAAATCTCTATGGTCATTCAGGATGACATGTGGTTCCGGAGTGCGCATGGCACTAGGGCTGAGCACGGTCGAAGTGTTTACCGATACTGGTCTGCGTCGTTGCTTTGGAAGAAAGAATGTTTATTTTAAAAAGGGAGTGCCGATGTGCGAAGATAAGCAGCAATCGAAAAAAGGACAATTCATGTGTAAAATGTGTTTGAACACCGGTTAGTAGTTGATTGGCTCGTAAGTTAGATAGGAGTGGAGATAGCTAGTTGACAGATAAACAGCTGAACGAAATGAAAGACATATATAGACCCAAACAAATAGTCAAGTCAGCAGTGCAACCAACAGATTGACAGACAGAAAGGCAGTTAGGTATGTGCGCATGAAAGAGTATGGGTCGGGTCAATTAGTTCGATGTCGGAAATGTGCTATTCATTTCTTAGAAATCCTCACGCTTTCGTTATCTCTCTAATGGAAGATGCAATAACGTGACACAGCTCCAGTAGCAAGCACGACATTTAATTTGTCTGCCTATGTTCACAGATAAGAACTGAGTAGCTGGCAATCCATCTCTCTATAGCATTGACAATGAATAATCCATTCACTTATTTGTAGCGGAGCCCCCGGTCCTCCCAAGCTGGTCTGCTTGGTCCGCGTGGAGCCAGTGTTCTTCAGCGTGTAACGGTGGCAGAAAGATCAGATGGCGATTGTGTGGACGTCATAAAGAGCCAGGAGATCCCCCGTCATTGGATATTACGGCGAACTATGCTCCTCATATTTATAGGTATACGGATTGTCTCGGGGAAGCGTATGAGGAGATGCCATGCAATTCTCACCCTTGTCCGCGTAAGTTTTAGTAGAATGAGTCCATCTGCCTTTTGTAATGAACTGTTCGAGGTTTTGGTGTTCCTGTGCATGGGCACTGTTGATTGTTGATTAGTGAAACAATACGGAAAGGAAAACCAAGCCAGATAATATATCAGCCAAACATATTGCTATTCTGTTGTATGCATGATAGATCCGATGGATGCGCACTACTAATGATGCCCAACAGGCTGAAACTGCAGTCTGGTGCTTTTCCGGGCATGTGGACGACTATCTGATTTGGAAGCTGGCTACGAAGAACCTCTATTAATACCGCTACTTTGCCGAACCTTTGGGTACTCAGAAACGACTTCAGTATCCTTGCTTGTCAATATATTCACAGGTACCTTGCTGGTTTTTTTGCGACTGCTGCTGCGTAAGTGATTTATTACGCATTGGGAGAAGGTAGCGTCCAGCGTTTATCCACTTCAGATGCGGTCTCGAAGAATAAACTAATTAAGCGGTAATCCAAAGTACGTATTCGTTCGCCGCAAACATGTCACACAATGCCTTCGTCACAGCGAACCGTTGTGAGAAACGCTGCACATGGAGCTCTTTGATCGAGGATCAAAGACTTCTGCGCAAAATCGAATCGTTAGCGTTCATGTCCAGCTTAGACTATCCTTATCTGAAGAGTGTAAACACCCACGAAACCTGTAAGCTAACTGGAGTGAACCACACCTAGTCTCAGTAAACAGTAGTGGTTCGAAAACCGACAGAAAACAGTCCCTGTGAGTGTATTACAGATACAACAACTACATGTTAGACTGCTTGTCACAAAATAACATGATGTTGACAAATATTAATGCTGCTCTCTTGCCAAGTGAAAAGCATCAAAATGAACTCGTTTGGAAACTCTCTAGGTATACGAACTCTTTACCTATTGAGCACAGTTTCGACTCCTATCACTAGGCACAAAAATACCACTAGTGAGATAACCATCTAGATGGGCTTGGTGTGAACGAGTACCATCTATCATTAAAGTGCTCATTAGTGTCTGGGCAGGTGACCATTTTTTCCCGTGGCAAGGAGACTAGACCTTAAAGTGTTGCGACGGTTTGCGTACCTCGTTGACCCATCGAGCTATACTGGGGGGTGCCTCCAGACACCTTGAGAGCTACTCCTACCAGGTTAGTCAATGGCGTGAGGTCAGACTAACAGTCCCCTGGTCCTACAGTTAGGTGGTTGAAATGGGATGGCGTCCATCTCTGTACCATTAAATCATTGCCATCTCCTTGCTGCGTTGAGGACAGGCTTTTGAGCCAAAGGCTTTGGATGAGGACCCCAATCGTTCTGCCGTCTAGGTCTGGGAGCCCTGGCAGCATCCCAGCCCATATACAACCATGACTTTTTTCAGACATAAACTTCATCCTGCACCGACCGTCGCGCAGCTTATCAAAGGTCGCCTTATCTACTGCACACAGCAGGGCGGATAAGCGGAAACATGCTACTGCTGGCACCTCCCTTTTTTCTTTTCTACCTGTTTCTCTTACCCCCATCCCGGCCCCCATTACTAAACTTCCTTCTATAATCCCCAGCTTAATTGACAGCAACCGAATTGCCACTGGAGTAGCACTATCTGCAGCCACATTCCCACAGCACCCATCAGCAGCAGTCCCTTATAAGGCCACGCTGTCCCACTTCCATGGCGACGTTCAACATTCGCACTCTAAGACAAATAGGTCAACAGCCTGCACTCGCACGCACATTGGACACACTGGGTATTGATATCTGTCCAAAACTAGGATCAATGACTCTAGTGGAGTTGTTGAATTAAATACGCCTGGCTTGTTCTCTCGCTATTGGTTGCACGCACCCGAAGACGCCGATGCAGCACTCACGGGTCAAGCTGAGGTAACCATCATTTTAAGCTGCAAGTCTGAGCCATCGTTGTTTGATTGGATTCCAGCTGAACAGCCGTTTGTGTGCAGCTCGTTTGAAGACATCGAACAAGATTGTTTTACGAATAGTACAAAACTCTGTTTGTTTATGATTTCTGCTTATGCTCCCACGACTGCAGTTCAAATGCTGTTCAGGACACATTCTACTACGAACTGAACAATTTACTACGCCGTGCTACTGTTTCAGCTATTACACTACTTGCAGGGGCTTTGAAGGCACAAGTAGGGCGTCTGAGCTCTTCAGCAGCTCAGCTTTGTGTTAATTATGGGCTTAACTCCGAACGGACTAACAAAGGCGAGCGTCTACTGCACCTGCGTGCGGAGCACCAGTTGTTTTTTAGTGACACTGCTTTTCGACACAATGGGCACCGGAATGCAACTTGGCGTCCTCCTGTAGCTGGCCAGCGATGGACCCAAATAGATCACATCATCACAACTTACAGGTGGCGTGGTTCCATCCTGGGTTGCTGCTCTTACTGAAATACCTGCGTCGACTCTGATCATGCTTTGGTACGCTGTCGTTTCTCCATTAACTTTACGGGGAGGCGCACCAAGCGTCCCCACAGATTGGCAACTGAGAAATTGTCGCAGCCCTCGGTCAGGCAAGCCTATCAAGACGCACTGCGTACCGCATTTTCGATGTCTCCTCCTAATGACATTGAGCTTCATTGGCATAGGATCTCGATCGCCATGCACAACGTAGGAGCAACTGCTTGTGGCACTATCAATCGTCACTGCACCAGTCACTGGATATCCGTGAGGTCGGCGAACCAGTTGGAATCCAGAAGGAACCTCCTGAATTGCTGTGAGTACAACGTGATCAGACGGAGTATTAGGTGCGAAATAAAGCGGCGCCTGTCTGCTGATGAGGAATCCTGTTTGACCAGTCGCTATATAAGAATAGAGGATGCAGGAGCAGTAGGCAATTACGGCAAGCTATTCCAGCTAATCCGCACCAGTGGGCCCAGAAAACCAGGTGTCAGTGAGACAACCAGAGACAGCGCGGGTGCACTGATACACAATAAGCAGCACCGTATGGCTCGATTGGCGGAACACTTTCACGATCAGTTCAGTTGGCCCCCTGCTCTTGGACCTCTTCCTACTCAGGTGATGCAGGACGAGCCATGGACGGTTAGTCTAGAGCCTCCGTCGGAGGCCGAGGTCCGAAACGCGATCACAGCCCTTAATCGTTTTCCTGCCGCTGGCCCGGATTCCCTCCCAGCTGCACTATTTAAGGATGGAGGTGAGGTCCTCTGCAAAGCACTGACCTCCTTATTCGAATGTATCTGGAAGGAAGAAAGTGTTCCGGCTAATTGGAGCGAATCGATTATAGTGGCAATATACAAGAAGGGCAGTCGCACAGACTGTTCTAACCACAGGGGTATTAGCTTAACGCCAGTTGTGACAAAATTACTGGCGTCGATTCTCGTTCGTCGCCTCACTGTGGAACGGGAATCTCGGATTAGGGAAAAGCAAGCAAGTTTCCGCCCAAGACGTGGCTGTATAGACCATATATTCACTTTGCGGCAGGTGCTAGAGCAGCGCCACGCATACCACAAACCGACAATAGCCGTGTTCCTCGATTTCAAGAGTGCGTTCGTTTCCGTCGATTGATCGATTCTGTTCCATGAAATGTGTGAACATCTTACGTGCGCTATACTCGAACACTACAGGCCATGTGGGGGTCTACGGTGTCCTATTGGATAACTTTCCGACCACAAGTGGCGTTCATCAGCGTTGTCCGGTTTTCCCATTTTGTTCAATTTCCTCGTGGATTCTGTCATGGAGTGTCCCCTTGCGGAATCTCACGATGTAGGCGTTGAAGTGCTGCCTGGTGAAAGGTTGGTTGGTCTTGATTATGCGGACGATATCGTCTTGCTTTCCGACGAGTGGTCCCATTAATTAGTATGCACTTCGCACCTTCAAAGTGCAAAGTGTTGCTGCTGGATTACCAGCCAGTTTATGACCTCTTGAGCCTTGCTAACGAGGAACTCGAGGTGGTTGATGAATTCACTTATCTTGGCAGCTGCATCAGCAATGATGGGCGCATAGAAACTGAAGCCAGCTCATGCATTGCAAAGGCCAGAGCTACCTTCTTGAAATTGTGGCATCTTTGGCGACAGAAGGGAATTTCCCTCCGTCTGAAAGGCCGTGTATACCAGGTCACAGTGAGGGCCGTTCTGCTGTATGGTAGTGAGACTTGGCCCCTTCGGTCTGAAGATCTGAGGTGCTTTCAATTCTTTGATCATAGTTGTTTGCGAAGCATTGCTGGTGTCGGATGGCATCAACATGTCGCAAAGATGATGGGCGTAGGCGAGTGCTAGGTAGTGATAATCATGCTAGCTCCCTAGAACAAAAGATAGCACTGAATAAGTTGCGTTGGCTCGGGCACGTGCTACGTTTGCCTGGTCACCGCTTACCTATTAGGGTCTTGTTCAGTCTCCCTGGTGTAGGATGGCGCAAGGCTCGAGGTGGACAGAAGTTGACTTGGCAGCGGGAAATGAAGTCACTGACGACCAAACTGGGTGCCGTTGGTCCGTCTCGTCTTCCGGGCTGGAGTCCACGTGACTCGCCTTACGCTCAGCTCGAGTACAGGATATGGCTCGCAACTGACACCAGTGGAGTGATCGCTGTCGTCTCCTAGTCGGATTGTCTTTTTAAAGTGTGTTTGGTGCTGTTATCTGCGGCGAAATAGTTATGACGCTCGGCAGTGAAAGCTGCAAGGAAGCTGTCTCGTCGATGCCGGCTTATCTTTGCTTGATAGCCAGCTGTTTGTGACGGTATGTTGTAACCCAAGGTGTAGACGCCTTGATCCTGAATGTTTGGTTAAAGCTTTGAGGTTTTCCGGTAATTCCCCTTACTTTCTTAATATTCTTCATTTCTAAGGTCATCATGGTTGTTTGGCAGCGAAGCCTCAGTTCACACGGCTGGTGTATTACTGTTGTTGATGACGATGATGAGAAGTGACAATTTATATGTCGCAAATGATTCATGGATTTTCCAACTTGGCCTTTCCAAACAGTACCTAAGGCACAACGGAAATAAGGAGCACGAGAGAAGGCAAAAAGCTTGGCACGGATC